AAAGGCTATTAACAAACAAAATAATTGATATTGGTCTGATAGTAATCCATTTTGACAACGATACAATTTTCAACATATGGCGAACAAACGTTTGGGGACTTGTAGGTGGCAAATTATCTCTTATTTTTATGATGGCAATTGACTGGTGTCGAGATCAATTCGATTATCTAATCAACTCACATTTTATGGAAGATGTTCCACCAAACATTCGCGTACATTTATTTTTCAACAAGACAGAGCATCTGGCATAACGCATTAATTGTTCGCGAACATTTAGAGAGAACTTTAATCATGATTGATGGAACCGTGGATCAGTAATGGCCGCCAAGATCACCACAGATTTGACACCTTTGATTTTTATGGACTATCTGAAGACGGTTGTCTATTCTAACCCACCAAATGATCTTCAAGATTTGAAAATAAAATAATTATTGCGTGTGCAAGTTAACTGAGGAACAAATATTTCTCGACACACAGAGAAGTATTGCGACGGTGGAAGCATGCATTACAAATAACGGTAAAATTTATAATTTATACGATGAATTGTAAAATTGAATCAAAATTCACCTGTACATAATTTAATTGTTCAATAATATCAATTTGTTTTTAAAACCGAATTAAATAATAGGATGTGTTAGTTTGTTTAATTAATTAACCAAAATTATACTTATTTACAAGAAATTTGAGTTAAAATTTCTGTAGAATTAATGTAAATTACTTGTGTTGTAATTATGATATACCACTTACTTTTAAAAATTCATACAAATCACTTATAAATTTGTAAAACTCTAAGTAGACTATTGAAAAATACGATAAATACAAATGTTATAAATCGAAAATTTAACTCATTCTCAATCAGTCAATTTTGAAGATGAGCAAAATTTTAAAGGTCAAAGTTGCTTGAAAAAATTCATATAATTCAAATTTGAACTCAAAAAAGGGAGGTGCCATTTAAAAAAAACAAATGTAATTTTATGTCCTTTATACATTACAAAAAACCCGAATTGCATACAAGGTCATGCGTTCGAAATATTTCGTGTTACCTTTATCGTTGAACACACTGTATATATACAGATAAATCTCCCTATCTAGAGCTATTCAATGTAAATTTTTTCATCCAAAAATTAAACAATTATCTACATTTTTAAATCAGTAGTTGTTTATAGAGTTAATTGATTTTTGGTAATTCTCGCTAACTTTATTAGCACAATTGATATAATTTCTAACTATCATAACATCTCAGAATTAACTAAGTTACTAAAATGATAGAAACAGTTTTTAAAATCATATTCTTACTAGAATATTTTAATCAAATAATCAAACTCGTTAATGTACCGCGTTTAAAATTATTGAACTATACACAAAATAATTATTTATTTGTTTTAAATTGGTTCAATTTATTATTTCAATACTGGCCATTAATCAACTACAAGCAAAATTAAATTAATTTTGAGAATTACATGAACTAAATACCCTGTAAAGAGTTTCAGAATAACTATTGGTTAACAGAATTACAGAAATACTCTTTAGAAATACTATTTTTTAGTTAACATTTTATGCATGTCTAACATTAACTTTTAATCCCTTTTTTAATGTCACATATGGTAAAGACTTAAACAAAAAATAACTTTTAAGATTTTAATAATCTAATTCATTTTAAAATGTATAATTTCCTAAGTTAATTGGTTTTAGAATATAGATATTTAATATGCATTCAAGTAATTTAAAATAGACAGGTACAAATTTACAGAAAATTTTTTTTTTTACCATTTTAGATACTAATATAAGTTAATACTATTTGATGAATTTCTTGTTAATTTGAATTGTTTTTTAGTAATTTATCACTATAAAATTATTTTATATTTTGTTTTTATTTAAAATATTGATAACAGAAATAATTTTTGCGCAGTTATTAGAGTTAATAGGATTTCAATCTTATAAGTTTTGAATTAATTTCCAATTTTTAATTTCACTTTGTTTTAAGTTTTAAAATTTATGGTACATTAAATGATACATTTGAACTTAACAATGTGTAAACTTTTAAAAATCACAAATTATATTTTTAACTCTGATACTTTCTGTAAACAGAAAATATGATTCTTAGCAAAAATAATGTTAATAATTTAATATGGCTCTAACTTCTAAATTACCATATTTCTAAATGTTTTATAAATTAGATATTTGATGTTTTCATTTATTATTTTAAACTTACTCTTCTAAGGATATTACATGAAATTATAGATGTACAAACAATTAATGTGAATATTAAAATTGAACATCACTCACCTATTTGTTCTGCTGTTTCTTCTAATATTTTTGCTTTTATCACATAAGCATTCTTTAATAACATATTGTCCTCTGGTACACCAATCGTTTCCATGATGAATATAGCTTGTAGTATACATCGCCTGAGGTAGTTAAAATCATTAAACAGAGTATAAATTTATCAATAAATTGTTTGTCTTACATAGATTCATCGATTTTACTTGGTAAATCATTCATATCAAATTTATGACAGATAAGTGCATATTCAGCAAGAACCAATGCAGTACGTAAATTGTAGTAACCATATGCATTTCGTGTGAGGTCTAGTGTTGTCTAAAATGTAATAAAATTATCTTAATTTATTATATTATTTTATCATGAGTATACAACAAATAATTCTTACATGGTATTTCTCAATAGTATCATTTGTGCGGTTTAAAAGATTGTTGTAAAATCCTTCATGATGTGTTATATTAATATAAGTACTATTACGAAAGGTTTTAGTAGTAGTGTATGCACGTAATTGATTTCTTAACTTTTGTGCTGTATTTGATTTATTTGTTGATGCACCAACTCTAACAGCATGATTTAATACCATAATTTTCAAGACTTCATTATTCTCTTTATGTTCAAGCTGTTCAAAGATAGCCTTAACTGCCCATGACCAAGCCTAAATTATCACATTTCATATAAAAATTAAAAATTAAACTCCCCAAAAATGTAATAAACCTCATCAAATTCCCTTAACATGCAATGGTAATGTGAAATGGCAATAAATGCATATGATAAACACAATGTTTTTTCTTCCATTTGTTCAATGAAGTTGATAATGGGAAGCAACTGTTGTAAAACTACTTCAGCATCATTATAATTTTTATATTTTGATGTAGTTATTAACCACCTAGAAAAAAATATGTTTTGTAAAAACAACTATTATTTTAAAGTCAATGATTTGAAATTCAAGGTTTGTATAACCTGGCAAGACATTTAATGGTTTTGAGAAGTTGTAAATGTTGGTCCTGACAAACCCATTTTGTCGTTATAATTTCATACGTATGTCTTAAGACTAGGGCACTTTCATTGAACCAGCCAGAATCGTCAAGAAAATTTCCTATGCATCAATCATGATTTCAATAAATTTTCAAAAATAAAAAAATTTATTTTACTAACCTAATATAAGACTTTTTTCTAAATGACGAAAACATAAATTGTCTTCATTGTCATCTGGTATTTTTGTTTTAATCCATTCTTGAACAAAGTTTAATGGGAATTTAAATCCATGCATTAGTACCCAAACCTAAAAAAAAAATATATGTTTTTAAGTGTCATTAATTATACAACTCTAATGTTATCATTATAATGGCTAGTGTCCACTATCTACCAACTGTTTCAATTTTTTGTTTTATTTAAATAATACCTGAAATAAAGGAGACAACAGTCTGTCTCGCAGGTCTGGGTTTTCAGCTAATTTAAAGAATAATTCTTGGTCAATTAAAATAGACCAATCAAATTTTCGATTAAATTTAATCTAAAATAAATAAATAAATAAATGATTAATGAGAATTTAATTTAATTTCTAAACTAATGTTGATATATTACTACACATAAAAAGAATTAATCGATACTTAAATAATATATAATATATATGTTATTTATAACAAGATATGTTCAAATTTAAGTATAAAGTAAACTGTATTGTTTATTTAATTTTTCCCATTTTATATACAAAATTTTTTAGTTGTCCAATTTATTGAGTTTTGTAAAAAAAGTCTTGTTGCTTAATTTTTTTTTTTTTAATTTAAATATAAAGAAATACATTTTGCTAAAAATTGATAAAATACAGTCGAATTCGCTTATAACGATGCCGTGTACAACGATATTCCGGGTAAAACGATTCCAAGCAATGTATTTAGTTGGTTTTATATCTTATATGTTGTTACATTTTATAATCCGGATATAACGAAGTTCGGTTAGGATCAGATTCTCTTGGTCCCTTGAAGATCGTAATAAGCGAATTTAACTGTATTAGTTATACAAATAAAATATTTGTATTTATTCTAAAACGTAACGTTATTTAGCACAATATAAACTTTATATTTAAAGCCTATGTTTAACATGTTTATCGGGAAATAAAATACTTCTGTAATGTTGTAATGATTTTTTTTTTTTTTTTAATACTCGTAAGAAAGAAATTCTAAACGTTCAGTGATAGTGTGTGTTATACCTATTAATATTATTTTTGCAATTTTTAATATATAAAAAACAGAATTCTTAGCAGTGTCTACTACAAAAAAATTATTTACATATATAAATATATTAAATTGATGAATGACAACTATTTTTAAACAATTTTAACTTAATCCAATCCTATGACAAATGTATAGGTTGTATATTCTATATAAATATTTTGTAAAATATTCATAAACCATAGCATAGAATTAATATTAAACGATTTGACACCAATGATATTAAATTGATGTGTAATACTTTCTTGATTGAACTATCTTTATTATTATTGTGAAATTTTTGTTAATGGAAATAACAGGTCTCACTAAATTAAATGTATTAATTGTATAATAATTTCGAAATTATATGAATTTTAAATTAAATATTTTATAAACCTACTCATAACACCTACCTATATATTTAGTTAGTACAGCATAATTTTATTTAATAATTTTTATTGACTGATTTATTGGCGTAATTTATCATTATTTTATCTTAAAATAGTGTATATAGTTTTTTTTCATGATTATTAAGTATCATACTAATCTAAACTATGTTTTATAAATAATGCAAAACTTATATAACTAGGTATTATAAAGAAAATATATTAAAAATACTTCTTGAGTTTTTCCAAATTCTTCAAGTTTTTCAGTGGTTAAATCATAGCATGAATTAGTATATGCAATATGATCTGAACGAGTTAGAGCCATTTCACGTCCTCTATCAACTGAAAGTTTTTTAGGTTGATAGACATAATTTTTATCTAAAACCTATATTCAACAAAATTCGAAATTATAATTTTTGACAAAATATAATTTCATGCACAAAATCATTTCTAACCTTCCATATAACTTCTACACACATATTTGGTGGCATCCGTTTTAACATATATTGCATTATATGTTCGTCTATCATTTGGCTTAATTTATTTAATGATAGCTCGTAAAGCGACATAATTTAAGATTTAAAGCTACTTATAAATATCTAGAAAATAAAAATATTTCAACAAAATTGCAATAAAAGGCACAAATCTAGTTTAGCGCCTCCACAAATTTTTCAATTTTTTTTTTTGAACCCATGTATTTCAACAAGTTAGAACGATGGTCCAAAAATAAATTAACGCAAATCATTAGTTTTTAAGTTTTGCGAAAATCACGATTTTTGCGCTGCGTACGACGCTCCATTTTATTGAGCTTATAATGAATTTTTCAATTATTTTTTTTTGAAACCTATGTAAATCAACGTTAATCACTTATGATTTGTATTGTTCCATGTTCCGTTATACAATGCCTTTAATTTATAGTGGTTTTACATAGCAATTAGTAAGTCGAGGGATGTTTTCGATTTTTATTGTTCAAGGGAGTAACCACGTTAGGTATTCATGAAAATACTATTAATTTCAATTTGCTATAATAGTTAAGCCAAATTTTAACTTCCTCTACGTTTTTAGCATATTCGACATCATAGTTACGTTAAGAAAAAATAAAAATTGCAAAAAAAAGAGTGTTAAGTAAAACAGAATAGTTTCAATATTACGGTGAAATAGAGCGTTATACGAATGCGTAAAACACCGAGTATAGCTAACTTTATAAGTTAATAATTGAAAAACTAATGTTGTACGTCACTTTAGTTTTGCACTATCGTTCTAAACTCGTTGAAATACATAGTATTCAAAAAAAAAAAAAATTGAAAAATTTGCGGGTGCGCTAAACTAAATTTTTTCCCAATAAAAATATAATATACATATTTATAATATATATATTTACTTTATTAGTTTAATGTCAACCACTTTCAAATTACCGGCAATTAAACAAATTAGTATTATTTCGTCAGCACCGTACTAAGTATTTACTCGGTTCAGCGATTTGATGTCGAATGAAAATCGAACTGTAGATAAGTTTATGTTGTGACCAAGTATATCTTAACTCTTGGTAAGGCTTCGAAAAATAAGAGAACGATATCCACAATCCAACACGTCATCGAAGTATTACAGCACAACAACTACTAAACACTAATACTAAAATGATCATGCAAGGTGTTTCTCCGCCCATTAATTTTATCTATTCACAGCTTTTAGTCGTTTCTTCCACAGTAGTGTTGCTCGGCGTGACGGCAGTTCGCACTTGCGCGCTGACGTATAAAACTACGAATTATTGATTTCAAAATTCAAACGCCGTGCACGGCCGCCATTTTTCACATCAACAATATTGATATCAGACGCGTGTAACTGTTGCCTCTTGGACAACAAATCGGAGCCATTTAGTTACATATATTAATCACTTGTCACGATACACGCGATAGTATTGATTTAGCGCGCCTTCATCCGGTCGCCGGGCTACGCACACCACAATACAACATTCGCAACGCGGTACTACGCAGACTTTGACAGAGTTTTCACACTTGTCAGCGCTGTTTAAACACAGCCCGGGCAAAATAGTATATATATATACACATTGTATATATTATTGATTACTGCTGCCCATCGTCTCCACCGTTGCCGCTGCTTCCACCGCCGCCATTGCTGTCTCCGCCGCGGTGGAAGACAACAGAATTTTATCGGCACCGCTGCAGCCGCCAGTCGTGTATGCTGACCATATTATTCGGCGCTTATCCTTAGTTAATTAATCTTTATCTATATCTTACATTTTGTACTAATTCATAAACGAATACATTTATTAGGTATATTATTATTTGTGAGTTGAACACCAGTATGTTATAACTTATAAGACTCTTGAGAATCGGTCATTAGTGGATAGTGATACAGTCGATACCAATGAGGCATGTGCTCGTGTTATTGTCTGGGCTTATGTAGCATCTCATTTTGTGTACAATTATTTGGGATATTATTTTAAAAAATGGATCACAGTGTTAGCTTTAATGTCGGTAAAAAATGGAATAGGCTTGTGGAAAACTTGGAAATGTTAATATTTAACGGTACACGGAAAAAAAATTAGTTTAACTACAATTATATGTACTTCAGCTGTAAAATATAGTTGCATATGGCATAGCTATATTTTTAGTTGCGA